CAACTGAATCGTCGACAACCAAATACAGTACAACTGAACCGTCGACAACCGAATACAATACAAGTGAACGATCGACGACAGAATATCGTACAACCGAATACAGTTCAACTGAACCGTCGACAACTTTAGACAGTTCAACTGAACAATCGACAACACATAGTACAACTGAACCGTCGACAACTGAATACAGTACAACTGAACCGTCGACAACTGAATACAGTACAACAAAACCGTCAACAACCGAATACAGTACAACAAAACCGTCAACAACCGAATACAGTACAACAAAACCGTCGACAACCGAATACAGTACAACTGAACAATCGACTACAAAATACAGTACAACTGAACAATCAACTACAAAATACAGTACATCTGAATCGTCGACAACTGGACTGTTGACAACAGAATACAGTACAACTGAACTGTCGACAACCGAATACAGTACAACTGAACAATCGACTACAAAATACAGTACAGCTGAACCGTTAACGACCAAATACAGGACAACTGAACCGTCGACAACAAAATACAGTACAACTGGACCGTCGACAACTGAACAATCGACGACAAAATACAGTACAACCGAATACAGTACAACAAAACCTTTGACAACCGAATACAGTACAACTGAACTGTCGACAACCGAATACAGTACAACTGAACCGTCGACAACCGAATACAGTACAACTGAACCGTCGACAACCGAATACAGTACAACTAAACCGTCGACAACCAAATACAGTGCAACTGAACCATCGACGACCAAATACAGGACAACTGAACCGTCGACAACTGGACTGTTGACAACAGAATACAGTACAACTGAATCTTCGACCACTGAATACAGTACAACTGAACCGTCGACAACCGAATACAGTACAACTGAACCGTCGACAACCGAATACAGTACAACTGAACCGTCGACAACAAAATACAGTACAACTGGACCGTCGACAACTGAAGAATCGACGACAAAATACAGTACAACTGAACCGTCGACAACCGAATACAGTACAACTGAACAATCAACTACAAAATACAGTACAACTGAACCATCGACGACCAAATACAGGACAACTGAACCGTCGACATCTGAACTGTTGACAACAGAATACAGTACAACTGAACCGTCGACAACCGAATACAGTACAACTGAACAATCGACGACAACACATAGTACAACTGAAACGTCGACAACCAAATACAGTACAACTGAACCGTCGACAACCGAATACAGTACAACTGAACCGTCGACAACCGAATACAGTACAACTGGACTGTCGACAACTGAAGAATCGACGACAAAATACAGTACAACCGAATACAGTACAACTGAACAATCAACTACAAAATACAGTACAACTGAACCGTCGACAACCAAAATCAGTACAACTCAACCGTCGACAACCGAATACAGTACAACTCAACCGTCGACAACCAAATACAGTACAACTGAACCGTCGACAACCAAATACAGTACAACTGAACCGTCGACAACCGAATACAGTACAACTGGACCGTCGACAACTGAAGAATCGACGACAAAATACAGTACAACCGAATACAGTACAACTGAACAATCAACTACAAAATACAGTACAGCTGAACCGTCGACAACCGAGTACAGTTCAACTGAACCGTCGACAACTGAAATCAGTACAACTCAACCGTCGACAACCGAATACAGTACAACTGAATCGTCGACAACCAAATACAGTACAACTGAACCGTCGACAACCGAATACAATACAAGTGAACGATCGACGACAGAATATCGTACAACCGAATACAGTTCAACTGAACCGTCGACAACTTTATACAGTTCAACTGAACAATCGACGACAACACATAGTACAACTGAACCGTCGATAACAAAATACAGTACAACTGGACCGTCGACAACTGAACAATCGACAACAAAATACAGTACAACAAAATACAATACAACAAAACCGTCAACAACCGAATACAGTACAACAAAACCGTCGACAACTGAATACAGTACAACTGAACAATCGACTACAAAATACAGTACAGCTGAACCGTCGACAACCAAATACAGGACAACTGAACCGTCGACGACCAAATACAGGACAACTGAACCGTCGACAACAAAATACAGTACAACTGGACCGTCGACAACTGAACAATCGACGACAAAATACAGTACAACCGAATACAGTACAACAAAACCTTCGACAACCGAATACAGTACAACTGAACTGTCGACAACCGAATACAGTACAACTGAACAATCAGCTACAAAATACAGTACAGCTGAACCGTCGACAACCAAATACAGTACAACTGAACAATCAACTACAAAATACAGTACAGCTGAACCGTCGACAACCAGATACAGGACAACTGAACCGTCTACGACCAAGTACAGGACAACTGAACCGTCGACAACTGGACTGTTGACAACAGAATACAGTACAACTGGACTGTTGACAACCGAATACAGTACAACTGAACCGTCAACAACTGAATACAGTACAACTGAACAATCGACGATAAAAAATAGTTCAACTGAACCGTCTATAACTGAATACAGAACATCTGAACAATCAACGACTAAATACAGTACAACTGAACAATCGACAACAAAATACAGTACAACTGAACAATCGACAACAAAATACACTACAACTGAACCGTCGACAACCGAATACAGTACAACTGAACCGTCGACAACCGAATACAGTACAACTGAACCGTCGACTACGGAATACAGTACAACTGAACCTTCGACTACGGAATACAGTACAGCTAAACCGCCGACAACTGAATACAGTACAGCTGCACCGCCTACAGCCGAATACAGTACAGCTGCACAATTGACAAAATACAGTTCAACTGATCCGTCGACAACTGGACCGTCGACAACTGAACACAGTACAACTGAGCAATCAACAACTAAATATAGTACAACTGAAATTAGTACAACTAAACCTTTGACTACTCAATACAGTACCACAGGTGAGTCAACCATTGAACCTTTCTGGGCAGCTATCTATACACACCAGGATGAATGTTGATAGACTTCTTCATATGTAATATCTCTTTGCATGCTCGCTGCAGCAGGCTTGGCTGAAATAAAACATTTTTCCGATACACAATATAGAATGCAGTGACTGAAGAATCATACAAATGCACTGACACCTTAGTTTTCAAGGGAAAATTACAAGAAATATAATGTTTCCAATTGTAATATGTTTGTAATTGGTGGTACCATAAATCTCAATATGTATGCTTATTAGTACAGTATATAAGATCTTGCCTGCCTAACTCCTGTCTCAGTTGTTGATACAACAAAATATTCAACATTATTTTTGTAGATTGGTATTGCTCTTTAGGTCAAGTAATACGTATTCTCTCGTAAAATGAGAGTGAAAAATCAAGCTATATATATTCAACTAATGTCAATCAAATTAATATTTTTCAATTGACTTGCAGAGTGTGTAATTTAAGTATATGTATTACAGTTTACATTTGTTAGTCTGTTTTTTTGTTGTTATAGTATGCGGTCTTAAACTGGGCTGTAATATGAACGGCCTACTCGACGAGGGTACATGTACATGTCATTGTTTTTCCGGCTACAAAGGCGACTTCTGTAGCTGTACGTATTAACTGGTGTATATTGAGTGGATAATTTATAGATTTAGTTACATTGTAAATATAAACTGTATGTTATCAACTTTAAGTGACACATAACAAAATATCCTTTATCCATTATTGCCTTTTGTTTTGGATTTAATTCTCTTTTTACCTTCATTTTTTTCATTTGCTACACAAATCTTATATAATGGCCCATAGTTATTTCCTTTCTGACGACAGAGATGATCAAATATGTTTCGCTCTATTTTTGTGTACAATAGCAGCTGTATTTAATGAAATGAAATGGTTAAAAATTATCTGATAAAAATTTTCAGCCGCATGCAATATTGATGAAAGCAGTTGCTGGGAACTCTATGCACGTCCCATGGTTAGAAATGATGGTAACTGCCCAATATACATCCCTACCATAGGTAAGTATTTTAGATCCACACTTTAGCTATAGATTGAGGAATTTATTCACATAAATATAAGCCTTGGTACAAAATTGTTATTTTACAATGTAACATCCATTTAGTATTATTAAAGGTATTGAAAATAGTAATATTTTGTTTCCACTATAAGCAAAATCATTATATTTAATTAATGTTAGGAGATCGGACGAAATGATAAACCTTGGCGCTAACTCTAGGCCTTTTTGGAAAAAAGCAAGTCTTCTTGGATAAACACTTTAAAACGAAGATCCAGTGTACACACCTGACTTTTATGCCATTTCATCTTTCGAAAGAGTAGATGGTTCATTTTATCATTGCTTTTCGCGATTTATATCATGATTTCAATCTGTTGTTTACTTTAGATTGTGACAATGAATTCTCTTGCAAGAATGACGGCTATCTTGAAAAACAAAGTGGATTTGAGGGTGTTCCTGGAATGTGTCGCTGCTATTGTCCATTCCCCTGGAGTGGTTCTACTTGTGAAGGTATTTTAAAGTTTGGTGTTTAACTTTCACCAAATGACTCTTGGTGTTTAACTTTCACCAAATGACTCTTGGACTGTAATTTATAGAATCATACAGAATTTTACAATTGGGCAGATGAAACCCGCTTTGGTAATTGGAACTTGTTCATCCTTCGTCTGACCATCTCCTTTGTATGTTTTGTACTTTTAATGTTTTATTGGAGGAAATAAGTATATTAAGTAATTATTAATTGTCCTCTGCTCCATGCAGAGTATTCATATTCACATATTAGATAATAAATTCATTTCCTACAGGAATCTTATATAGTGCCTAGGCCAACTAAGTCTCTTATATTCTTATTCTGTACAACAAAATTGATTTAAGAGAACATATTATCAATACTTGTATCAAAAGAGTTGGACTCTATCTTTAAGACTCAGTGAAAAAGGCAAGCAAGGTATGCAGTGCATATAATAGTACAGTATTGATATCAGCCAATCACTTATTCAGTGAGTCAATGGAAGTCAGAGCATACCCTACAACGCTTAATTTGCTATTGTGACAACCGTGCGGTGGCGTCAGAATAGCCAATTTAACACTTGAATGGAAGCAGTGCTTCCAAGTGTATGTGCGCATGCTCTTCTCACAATCGGGACCTCCACTGCCAATTGTGTATTCTATCTATAAGCCTAATCTGAATCGATTAAAGTTTAAATATATGTACAAACATATGACCAGTATATATAGAAGAAACTTTGAATTATAATATGAAAGGAATAAGAATTCTTTTGAAGAAAAGACAACCATGCCAGTATTAGAAATAACATGAATTGTATTTTGACTATAGAACGCAATCCTATTCTGTATAGTAGTAGGCTTACGAACTTCGCTTACGAACTTTCCCTATCACTAGCAGGCCCTAGCATCAGTGGGCGGGTCTTGAAATGGAAGGGAGCTGATGGTGTTAGGAAGGTAAAGTGGGGGATCGGCGATTATGAGGGGATAACTCGCAAACTAAGGTGATATGAGCATGGTGGCGTGACTGGGGATGGGTATATTTTTTTTTCCGGGGTAGGAGGAGGACGTGCAGCCTCTTATACATCCTAGATATGCCAATACCTAGCATACCCTGCAATTTACCCTATGGTTCGTCACTGGTGGAATTTGTATGTCATAATATACCCATATAATTAAATAAATAGTGTAGACAGTATTTGTGTAACTTTGTCAAAATAAAGCAAATATATTTTAATCTCCCAGATTGTAATTTAGAGTGCATTTATGGAACACTCGATCCAGGCAACTGTACTTGTTCGTGTAATGATGGTTACTCTGGCGTCGACTGTTCAAGTAAGTCGGTCTAAATGGAAACTGCGAAAAACAGGTTTATTACTAGGCTATGGTGTACTATTGAGTAATAAAACCTGGACATTATTGGTTTTTTTTTTATTCTTCAATTATTTAGTTACGAGGATGTCTACTAGTAAATTTGTTTATTAGTAGTTCCCTAAATAGGGTAATGGAAGATGCCCACTTTGTTTGTCATCTTGCAATGCAAGTTTGAAGATGCTGTTCATATTATAGACATACTATTTTTGTGTGGTAGTTAGTAAATTTTTGTCTAATATTACTTCATATATGAAGAGTTTTTCATTATTGTATTTCTTTTCAGGTTCATGTAAACAGACTTCACTACTGTGTACACGGCACACTCAAGGGAGATGCGATCATAACGTCATTAGAAAACATTGTCCAATAATGTGCGGCGTATGTGGTAAGTTTAAACACGCCAAACTAGTGTACACACATGCACTAGACTTCATATAATGAAATTGAGCCTGTGGCCTAGCGAAGAGGCATAATGACAAATAACAGTTGGCTTCTTGGAGCTGTGAATGACCAAATCTGATCATTAGGTCCACTTGGAAAATTTCGGACCCTTTGTCCTGGTAATAAAAAAATGCCAGTTAATATCTCGGGGCCTCTAAAGGTCTGGGGCCCTTGCAGTGGATTACATAAATGTGAGAAGTGATGGGGATTGAACACGCCAAATCCTAGACTTTATACAATGTTCATGAGCCTGTGGCGTAACAAGAAACATGATGCCCCTGAATAGGGCTTCTACGGACTGTGTGACCCAAGCTCTGTCCACACTATCAAATCTGTGTGATGTGCCCATATATAGTCATAATGATGTTTTATTGCTCCCAAATATGGCAATCAATAATAGGCTTTGTGTAGACAATAAGCTTAGAGAATTAAAAAAAGCTTAATATTTTGTTTACTGATCGTATTGCTTTTATTTTCACAGTGCCCTTGTAAATAGTATGTTGTAGAAGCACGAGCCAAGAATTTTAAAGAACCAATCATTGGCCAAGATTAAATTAAACCACCAATTCAGAATGGACTGGTTTTTTTGGAATGTTGTAATAGCAATATTTTGTATCAATGTATTAATTAGCATAATGTAAAAAATAGTATGCAATACAAAATAAATATTTATAAATTTGATCATTTGCCTGCTTCATATTTCTTAATTCTTCATATTAGTGTTTAATTAGAAAAACAAAATACCCAGAAAAACCACAAAAAAACCTCTACAGAAACCAGCCTCAGGGCTTATAGAGCCGTTGAGGTATCGTATTATTATTATATCCTTATACAGGTATATATAATTTCAAAATAGACTTCAGCTTAAAGATGAATTTTCCCCAGAAAAACCCGAGGATATTGACCACCCACCTCACAATAACTTGAGGTCAAAAATCATTGCACACAAAACCAGTACATTACATACACCGTATTATCATCCGACGCAGAAATGGACCAATAGCTCACAACATCGACGCCTCCTCGAAATGGACAAGGCCAAAATTCAAAAACATTTCAGTCACACAGAATTTACAATTTGTAACTAAAAGCGATTCTGACATATTCCTATGTAAATTGATACTGCAATAATTTTGTTTGAAGGTATTACTGGAGGGAAGATAAAAATAATATGACTGATTAGAATTATCCAATACTCTATTACTGTAGATGATTCTACTAGATAACAGTTACTTTAGCAATTGTTAATATGCATAAAAGGAGTTGCCTAGTTCAACATGCTTACAGCCTGTATGCTCAAGTACTGGAGGTAGATGAAGGGGGTGGGATGGGTGTGCGAGCGGAGCAGTTTATTAACAAAAGCATGGACAGTACCCCTGGAGCTTTTTGGGAGGTAAAAAAAAGAAAGAAAAAGAAAAAATGATAGCCCAGAAAGCCTCAATTCGGGCATCTAGAACACAAAATTTCGCGGGTGGGTGGGGGCATGCCCCCGGACCCCTCTAGGACAGTGTTGTCTCGATCGGCCCAACTTTCGGCCCCGCCCCCTTTTTGGACATCTCTGGCTCAGTCCCTTAATTAACATGCACCAGAATTATATTCCTAAGCCTGTGGCGTAAAGAAGCCTGATGGCCCGGATAGGGCTTCTTGGGGATGTATGATCCAATCTCAGCCAATGTGTCTGCTGACCTATGATTCCGAGTCTGTTAATAAATAACAGACTCGGAACTGTTAACTTTGCGACGTCTGTTATCACCAACGTCGGGCCAACGGTTTTAACCAACCACCATTTCAAACGTTTACCGACGTGGGGCCAACAACGTACTGTGACGTTGAGACAACGTCTACAATCACATCTAATATTTACAACCTCTAGCCAACGTTGGGCCAACGGTAGTACCCAACCATCTTTTTAGTAGTTTGCCGACGTCGGGGCAGTAACAAATCGTGACGTACCGTCCGTTAGTCAGACTGAATATTTACGACGGCTTACCACGTTGGGACGACATCGGAATATCGACAAATATATTCATACGGGCCAATGTGAAATTCCAATGTTGGTTTGACGTTACCTCTCCGACCAAATTTTGCAACCAAACACCAACGTCAGATATCCGACCCCGACGCTTGCCAACGTTTGCCAACTGGGCTATGTGATACAGAAAATCAGCAAAATTTCAGTCACGGAATTTACAATTTGTAATTAAAAAGCGGTTATTATTCTTACATACTGCAACAATTACTATTATTGAAATGTCGGGAGGGATGATTCAAATACAATAACAAATTGGAATTGTCTACTGGAATAATATAACGGTTACTGTAGAGATAATACATATTAACATAAAATGAGTTGCCGATTTCAACATGCTCAAGTACTGGAGGTATGGGAGTGGGTTGGGGTGGGTATGAGCGGAGCAGTTTATCCAGGATAACACGGACAGTACACCTGGAGACATCTCATATTGAATCTTGTACTTAGTTATTTACTGTGCAGAAAGCCATTACGTACATGGAACCAATATCCTTTATATCCAAAAAAGGATGCACAACACGCATGTATTCTTCGGTAAGAGCCTTGGCGAAACAGTGGGGAGCTTTCGATTGCACGACGACGGTAGGACGTAATGACGTCACTAAAAGTCATCTGCGTATGCGAGAACGTATAAGGTCACCTCGTCGAAAAAAATCTGGAATGCAATTTGACCAAATCTACGTTTTCTTTTACAATTTTGTTAAATTCCCTAATTTTTCTGATTACCTTTGCGTTTCCAATTTTACTTTTGTTCGCTTGGGCATATTGTTATTTGATTAAGTTTTGACGCACCACTGATTAGTGTGTGCCACTTTATAAAAGTGTAAGCCAATAAAAGTGAAATATCCCTATGGTGAGGACGGGAACTATAGAACTTTTGTATTTAAAACATTACAGCTTGTTATATTTTACCCAGCATGTTTTAAAAGGAATCAACATACATAACACAACTGTTCTGAAGATCTCTTCTGAGCGTTGTGACTGTAGGTATAGTGTGTTACGATCGTCAACTGCCGAAGTGGGAATTAGACTGGTCGATTAAACCCAAAACAAAAACACAACTTAATCGACAATTTATGATACTTAATTAGTTGCTATTATTTGAGACAACTATATAATAGTTGTCTCGGTTATTACCAGGGAACAGTGAATTTACACTATTACACAATTCACTGTTCCCTGGTTATTATGTACGTTTCTGGGGGAGGTTAAGCTGTCCGATAGGGGACTGAATGAATGATAAGTTAACTTTAGAGTTCCTATATCTAACCACAATTAACCACCTCTAGATCTTCATTGTGATATGTGGATTATTACTGCTCAAAATTTAATAAAGTATTCTAAACAGCAGCAAAATATTAGAAGATTTGCTACTGCTAAATCACGAGCAGTTTGTCAATTTTTGTAGTGCTTTTCCCACGCTTTGCATAAACTGAGTAGATGCGCGTACATCCCTCTGATTTGCGGTTTGCTCTAATGAAATTGTGTCTCAAATGTACGAAAGCAAGACTGATAAAAGTGCGTCTGTCTCGCGAAGTTGCAAAAAGTAGCAGCTAAATTTGGTACCATCATGAAGCAAAGGCTATACTGAAGATGGTGATGTAAAAATTAAAGCATGAATCCACATGAATCTAAACTTTCTCTCCTACTTTTCTAAAAATACATTTTAAAATATTTTTTCTGTCGTTTAAACAACGATTTATTATTGATGCAAACTTCAAATTTAAACCAAAACATACATTTGTTTTCCCCAATTTATATACAAGAAACGAATTCCGAATTTCTGTAAGAAAAAAAAAAACGTGTTTTCATATAGGAACTCTAGTTAACTTCGGCGCGCAACGCCCTCAGAGGGCTAGACCCAAAGATGGGGAGGTCAGAGGTGTTTCCCACAGTGATGAGATTTTTTCTAATGGGGACCTGGATGGCTGGAAATGGCACCCCTGACTTCAAAATACAGTACTTTTAAATGTAAAGCTGATAAAATTGACAATGTTATACTCTCAAACTCACATCAAGCATAGGCCTATTTAACATCCTACCAACATGTTAACATTAGGAAAGTATAATACATACGCCAAGTATTGAAATACACGCCATCGTGTTGGGATTCAATATTTCGACATTAATTATGTCATCATCAGGAATGTCATCATGTTAACATTATTCATGCAAAAATGAGTAGGCCTACCGATTTCACATACAGGCAATGCCGTAAGCAGTTACTGGGACAGACGGTCCCACACATTTTTTCTAATGGGTCCACAAAGCATGGGTCCACATTTTTAAAAATTGGTCCAAATTATGCAATTTTATGTATAAAATGAGTCCATTTATTGAAAATGGGTCCAGATTTCTCATATTTAGCCTAAATTGGGTAAAATTTTTTAATTTAAATTATTTAAATTTATTTGTAAAGTGGGTCCACCCTGATTGTTCCGCAATGTTTGAATATCCTGGCTACGGCATTGCATACAGGGGATTGAATTTGCGTGATAATAAAATAATAATAAAAATACAGTACAGTAGTGCGATTTGATATAAAATGAAGCACGCCACCTATAACCCTGGTCATGTAGGTCAAAGATCTTATAAACACAAGATAGCGTTCTCCGGGATTTACGCGTGCAAATTCTGTAATAAGGCATGAATGGCGCCCTCTTGCTAAATTGGAAACTTTTGGCCTTTGACTGCTATGACCATACCGTACTGTGAACAGCAGAACAGGAACCATCTCAAATCCATGGCAACAGATAGAACCTGTTTTTCCGTCAACAATTATTAATTGGAAGAATTTCTGGTGATGGGTATTGAGAAGAAGCACTAATTGGATTTTGTTTGTTGGAGTTACAGTCAATTCAATTTCCTTTTATACAAAAGTGAACGAAACAAAGATTACTTTTTATGACACATGATCTGTCTCTTATACACATCTAGATGTGTATAATATTTCTCAGGTAGGATACTCTATTTAAACGACAGAAATCAATCTAAACAAATACATGTTAACCTTATTTTACTTATTAAAATATACATTTAAAATTAGAAGTATTATTTATACAATGTTTGTCAAGAATTCGCTCTCTAGGTCACTCAAACTGCACTGTTGAACATGCATCACAAAATATCCTGCTAGGCTAGTCAATTAAGCCCAGGCCCACAAGAGTAAGCGTACCTACACGGCCTTATCACAGTGGCAGTTTGTTTGTGGTTCGCCGTAATGTGTCGGGTGGCTTAGTCTAAGACCTTGATTGAGCCTAGCCCATTTTCCCTAATGAGGTTTGTTTACGCAGCCCAGCGTTTAGTTGTCCAGAGCTCACTGTCACCTGGTTGAGTCTTTTAATAATAAGAGTTCGGCTAGTGGGGCCTAGGCTAGGCCTACATTCGTCATAATTGGCTCAGGACTGCCTCGGCAGGTTCACCTTTTTTATGTGTGAACAACCACATTTTAAGCCCACCTAAATTTAGTCCAACTTCAAATGTGGTACCTGGGCCGACTTATCTTCATTGAACGTAAACCAAACTTTGGTTGCCAACCAAGATTCCTATGACAGCAGTCAATTTTGACATAACATAACATTTTCACACAAAAAAAGAGGAAGTGTGGAACGTTCGCAGTGCGACCCTGATCGACATAAAATACTAACCGTGAAGGGAACATCTGGTTTGAGTCGGTCGTAATTATGGCGGCCCTGGTCTGTGCCTTCTCATTTGGCCCAGTGGTTGCGGTCCGTCATCTCATCCTTGAGATCGGAGGTTCAGTCCCAGAGAGCTGAGTATGTGTTCCATATGTGCTTGATTAAAGACTGGGGTTAATAAAGGGAAGCACTTAAGAGGCCTTTGTTGTTATGAAGTACTATACATCTAAAAAGAACAAATATTTGCATAGTTTTTTTCATCCCAAGATCCAGTGTTCATAATTTTCCTATACTACTAATATTCCTTTTTTTATATAAAAAAAACCCAAAAAACAGATGAATTCATAAACAACTAAAAAAACACATACAGAACAAAGCAAGTTGTCATAATTTCCCTTATAATTTTTTCTCATTCAGTGGTTGCAAATCCTGCTACTGATCCTACATGGACTTGTCGCCACATGATGAAGTTGAAGAAATCTGCTTCCTATGCCTACAGTATAGTCCAGTCTGCTAATGTGTCAATGCCTTAATACCACCAGGTATACAGTTCAGTATACCCTGCCATAAATGTATTAACAGTAAATAAATTATAATTGTATTGTTATTGTGTTAGCTTTTGTTGTTGTGGTCAAGATATATACTATGGTATACCATAATAATTTCATGGTTAGTATCAACTAATAGTTTATTTCATGAATACTGTACTTACCTTGAGGAGCCAGTTTCCAAAAGGAATTTACACTAAAAACCCTAACCCTGGCAACTTATATTTAAATTTGTTGAATTTCTTTTCATGAAGAAGAGAGAAGGAGAGGGAGGAGACGGTCTGAGTTGGTAGATAACATCAGATGCTGGACAAATGGTATGAAGAATACGAGGATATTCACTTTCCAGAGAAACGCCAAATGCTATCTTCAGGGCTAAGTCATTAAACAATTTCTTGAACTACCTAATTGTATAATTTTTTTTTTTTCAGACCAGACTGAAAAATGACATGATTGTTACCTGTTGTTTTCTTTAACCTGTTTTTCCGTCAACAATTATTAATTGGAAGAATTTCTGGTGATGGGTATTGAGAAGAAGCACTAATTGGATTTTGTTTATTGGAGTTACAGTCAATTCAATTTCCTTTTATACAAAAGTGAACGAAACAAAGGTTACTTTTTATGACACATGATACCAACCTTGAGGAGATACTTACTGTTCTATTAGGAAAAATCTTGATTAAAAAGTGAAAAATTATTAAAAAAAACATTACTGAACAAGAAAAACATGTAAGGTTTTTTCGTTAGTAAGTGAAATATCAGAGCATTTTGACAAAGTAAGTGGTTAAAACAGGAGGGGGTATGGGTAATTCGTGTATCAGAAAGGATCGAGATGAGAGAGCGTCTCAGCCCTACACACGTTCCAACCATTCAATCACGAACCCCTCTAATAGGAATTCCCATGAGGCCTGTCAAATACGTCACAGGAGTCGAGGTCACGAGACAGCGAGCGGGCATGAGGGATCGACTGGTATGAGAAATTCTCTGTTCCATTCTGCTCAGGAAACCTTTTTACCCATCTACTCAACTGATGATCTTGTGTTGGACACTTTAGCTGTAATACGCAACCTTGTTGACAAGTATGTATTCTCTTTTTAGTTTTTGTTTATTTCACTTCTAACAGCAATTAACTTGCCAATCTTCTGTGTGAAATTGTGATTTTCAGTCCTACTGTACAGCTACAGTAACTTACAAATGATTGAATTTATGTTATCAATTATGTTTTCCCTAAAAATTGTCATATCACAAACCATGGAATTGTTTACACATGCTGTAGATAGTATGTTAAAAATATATTCAAAGCTTACCCTGCATGCAATATTGTGAAAAATTACAACTTGATGTCTGCTATTCTAATCTTGGAATTTAATAATTTATGTTTTTACTCGTCAGGATGATTCATGATAGCAAATATTTATTTGATATTAATTTTTTAAGCTGTGAACTTAAGAAATGCAAATCTATGCTGTGTTTTACAAAACCTTTACTAGCCATCAACTAAAATAGCAACAGTTTTTTAATTATGATTTGTTTTTTGACAAATGATAACTAATTTCAAGGAACTGTACTGTATATAATATCTATTTTTAACATTGTTTTTTTTATTTTTTTATTTTTTTTAATTTTAAGTGAGCAAGAACCACCGCCTTCAATGCTAAAACTACATCGAATTGCTGAAACTGGTAAGTCTGACTTTTGAAACTTATTCATAATTTTTACATTCAAAATTTATGAGTATTCATATGTTTTATAAATTTCTTACACTGACACTTGTAAGCAATTTAAGTATAATGTGTAAAATATTATTTTCTGTATTTCATGTTTTCTTTCATTTGAAGCAATCTCTTAACAAGACCTTTGGATTAATGTAATGAATTTGTTTCTACAGTAATTCACTTTGGTAATAGAAAAATGAGTTTGTATTTGGCCTACAAGTGTACAATCATTCGCCTATTCAATGCTTCAGTTTATGATTCATTTAGTTATGGCATTTTGACCTCAACTACTGTATGAATGCAGACAAGAAAATTACAGTATTTTTAGTTTGTAAAAAAACTTATTGTTAAAAAAAAACACGAGTCACACACATTTTAATGTCTATGCACTTGAAAGGCATGTTTTGAAAGGCATGTTTTTTTAGAAATTTGTATTAAAACTTCCTGTTACTACTAACACTAGGTTTTCTAGAAATGATAGCGTTGCTGGAAATGAGATAAAAATCGTGGACTGTCACAGGCATGTAGGTAGAGTGCAGTAGGCCTAAAACTGTTGTCATTTTCCTTCGCGCAATCAGACTGCCCTCAAGCAACAGTGAACTTTGAACCAGTTCTCCTAGGCTGTATCCAGGATTGCCATTGTTGCTACAGGGCTGTGCAAAGGTGGACAAACGAGGGTCAGGGTATAGTGGTGGTTGGATTGAAGCTTAAATTTTTCATTATTTTGGCAGATTTAATTCAAGGCTAATGATTGATTACTGGTTAAGAATTTAAAGATTTACAACTCCATTTTAATCTTCATTACAGAAAATACTAAATTTTATATTAAGTACATGTATGTATTCTTAACTGTCTTTAAAAAGTGGACCTTTTCCAATTTGTGGAGGTGCGTACACGCCTATCGCACCTCTGGATACTTTCCTGCTCTCAATTGGTCAGTTCTTTTATACTGAATATGTCTCTGCCTTGGATGCTCTATTACCAACTGAACTATGAGGTTATTGCTAAGGTGGTATTATTTTAGCATTTATTTTCCTAATTAATTTTTGCATAATATCCAATGAGTAATTAGATAAATATGATACCCTGTGATTTATTTTCATGAAATGAAATCCAGTATTTATGTCAAAAGTGTGAACAGTTGATCCATTTTTAAGAGGATAATAATGCCAACTGTCTTCAAAAGATAACAAAGATTTATTTTCATGAAATGAAATCCAGTATTTATGTCAAAAGTGTGAACAGTTGATCCATTTTTAAGAGGATAATAATGCCAACTGTCTTCAAAAGATAACAAAGATTTGTGTAACATGTGAAGTGTGCGTACAGTAGATTAAGATAAGCAGCCATGGAGCCACACACTGGAAAAGCTTGCAAAATAATAGACACCAAACGTAATGAGTTTCATACTAATACATCGTCCTTCTAATGAAGGCACAAAATCCCAGATACAGGATGTGGCCATAGAAACAATAGATGTCCAACAGGCTGTTTATTATTCAACAAGGAAATTGTGCTGTAAATGCATTGTTTTATGCTTAGCACCAAATGCAGTAGTGCATTATTGATATCTTACTTTTTATTATTTAATGTACAGGTTAGTTTCATTTATATTTATCTTATGTATTTTGTGTACTCTGCATACGTTACAGTAAACAGGCTCTCTAACCGCTGCTTTATTGTAAAACCATTCTCTTTTTTTTTTCTTTTGGTTGTCATGTTATTTTTTTTAACAAATAAAAGTACACTGTTACTAATCTACAGATTTTTGTATCCCCTTTTTTGTACACTACTCTCATATTTAGTCTCATAAATGAAATTTGCATGAATTTAATGTTTACAGACTAGTATGCACCAGCTGATGTTTATTTCATTTATAGATTTTTATTATGAAAATAAACTAAATTGTGAAGTCAGGTGTTTACCTGTATTTACTGAATATATGTATATATATATATATATAGCCTTTTTTTATTTTATAAACATGATCAGCAGCCAGCGCAGACTATTCAAAATTACTGGTTTCATGAAGTAGTTGAACACACGTGAAGTGGTGAACTGCGCTTCAGCGTACGTGTTTGTACCTAGAAATTGCTAGTCGTCTATTTTAGCATCTGACCTAATTCTGTCTTTGCAATAATGTAACAAAAATGGAAATAAAACAAACAAGAAATCACAAACCTTGTGTCATTTTCGCCTTAAGAGTACCAACGTTTCATTCCACAATTATACTCAGTACCATGGCAATAAATATGTGGAAACGTTTCTTTCCACAATTATACTCCACTTATGCAACTAAAGAAATAGGCCTAGCAAGTTGAGTGATTTTCTCGGGCTTATGAATATAACAAAAGCATGAAAAGGCTTTTAAAATGTACCGCATGCAATTATCAATGTATTGATACAAAAAATATTGTATTGATACAAAAATAAAAAACACTTAAAACCAGAGACTGGAAACCCAAAAAGTGAACTAAATCTAAAGTGGATTACCTAAAATATTAATATCTCTTAAACCTTTACCGTAATCCTTAAAAGCTATATAAATTGTTTGTATTAAAATTTAAAAGAAGTTTTTTGGTGATGATTTACTACCAGTGATGATTAACCACCAGTTTTTCAGTGATGATTTAGTGATGATTAACCACTCAAATTAAATGCGCAATAAATTATCCCAACAGCTACCAATAACTAAAAACTGATTATATAGCAATTGCAAGGAAATGGCATTTTAATATACAATTCATTGTATTATTATTTAGCACTGCAGCCTAGTGTTCTTAATCTGCTGATTTATTTGGTAAAGCTTACATTTTTAAATATTTTGTGGTTAGAATTTTAGGTTTCATTTGTTCTGCATCATTGCTTTCTGGAAGAATCATGAATTTTACATTGAACTTAATTATACTGAAGAAGAATTATTTTTACTCCTTACTAAGTACTGTACATTGGTTTATGTGTTTAACCATCTATACTATCTACCAGTTTTGTGTTCTTTTTCTTGCTGACTCAGAGAGTGGATGGATCCAAGTGGTTACATCGATGGTGAATGTAATACCTCTACATGACCCCTTGGGTCCAGCTGTCATCACACTCCTCATCGATGAATGTCCCCTCCCTACCAAGGTAAAATCTTGTTCATGCTCTGAAAATGAATTGTAATTTTTACAAGTACTGTAAATTTGTCTTGATCAGCATTGTATTTAACTGGAAATGATAATAAACCATAAGATACAGTACTGTACTCTATAAATGTTGTTAGATTTTAAATAATTTGTTTTAATATTTTTCTTTTCTAATATGAATACTGTATAATTGCACACTTGTAGGAGGCAGTTGAAAGGTTGTCTAGTATTTTGAATGTGTCAAGGTCGGCTACAAAATCAGCTCACCATATGCCTGCCAGACATAGAAACATCTGCACAGTGCTTGGTTGTATTGCTGAAAAACTTGCAGGCCCAAATAGTATATCCCTGCTCACAAAGAATGTATTAGACTACCTGTTGTCCCTTTTGGTAAGTTTGTTTACCTGGTTTAATGCTTCAGAATTATTTATTTTCATTACTATTTAATTATTTATATTTTGCATCTAAGACCAACAATAATAAATCAATACAATATGCATGACATGCAAGGTGGATTGTTAAGCTACAGTAAATGTTGAATGGATAATGAAAGTACTGTACTTCAAAAGACACGATGTACGAGTGATGTTTTGCCCTATCTGAAGTGTTATCCTACCGAATAATACATTCCCAAATACTTTGGGAATTCAGATGGGAATATAGGATATTTTCCTGACAAAAAGCACATTTGCAGTTTCAACACTAGTCACTAATCTATTCAACTTGATAGAAGCCAATTTATCAAAGAAAGCTTCACCCATAAGCATTAAATAGAATATTTTGTAAATAGCATTCAGTTTTCCATATTTTTTGTGTTTGGTAATTGTTTGTACACGGGTCCCTCATCATTATTCACAGGTGGAAGACAATCGATCATTCGTTTTATGGTGTTAGTTTTTATTTTATTAATTTTGCGTACTTCGCAATTTCTGTTACATTTGATTTTTTTTTTACCGCGAGCTTGTTAAATGCTTCTATAAACTGCAATTTGATTTGTGAAAATTGACCAAGAAAATGAAAAGTTATAGCAATTCAAAATTTACGAATTTTATAAAATTTCATGTTCTTATGTAACATTAATCTGTCATTTTGACAATGTTGGCATAAGGTGCTGAGGACGAATATTTGAGTATATACGGAACATTTATTAATTTTTTCTGCGAAGTGAGTCTCATGAACGACAATTCACCACAATTTTGGTAAAATTAATGTTGAAATGAAGAATATATTTCAGTCTAATGTTAGAGCAAAATATCATTAGGCCTTTGTAATCACCGCACGACTAACATGGCAACTAACACGCGCGTGGGTAAATCGTCACGTACGCGGACGGTTTATGGTCTGGTTGCTATGGTTTTTGTGACGTTCAGCGTGTAGGGACGCACGTGCGCCTAGAATGTCGATGCCAGAGTTATAACCTTTGATGTCCCGAGATGTGCGTCCTTTTGTTGAATTACCTTGCAAGTATTGTGTACTGATAACATGTCAGGTAGGGCAAAGCATCACTTTTATGATATTTTCTTGATGCAAACACATCAAAATGTGTGATGTAATAACATGATGTGATAACCTGCTGTCTGATACTGTATACGAAACTAATAAAGAAACACCATATCAACAGATTGCTTCATATTTTGGCACGAAGTTGTTTATTGCATGAAAATATAAAATTACTACTTTAAAATTTCGTACAATGGTATGATCAACTTATCAACTGAGCAACTTAATCGTTTTATATATCCAGTTAACTAATTGGTGGTAATAATAATTGATGTTATAATTTCAAAAAAACTTGAAATATTTCTCTTTCCTTACAGGATGGTAGATTTGATGCTGTAGTGTTACTGTTTGCACTTATTGCATTAGAAAAGTTTGCACAAACAAGTAAGATCATTTATGTCAACAAAAATTTTACATCTAGTACACACTTCTTTAATGATAGAAACGCATTTATTTGTTTGCATTTTTCTTTATGATTATTTATGTCTACCCCATTTGTTTTTCGTATTATTGTTTCATGATTGGATATCATTAATGCAGGTGAGAACAAACTTACAATCAAGGAATATGGTATATGTGAAATTTTGTTAAGACTTGAAAAATATGCGAACAATGCTGATTTGAAGTATCGACAAGTGGGTTTCTGTGCTCAGTGGAGCTTAGACAACTCATGTAAGTATGATGGACTTGCTCAATGAAGTTAGACTATTATTAAAAATATAGATTTGCTTGGTTTTCTCCTCATTGCAATCACAATCATCATCATCATCATCATCACCATCACCACTACCCTCAATGTCATAATCATAATCACCAACACCACCATCATCTTCATTAACAAAGTTATCTTTATATTTAACAATAGTCATAACTATTATTTTTACAGCACAAAAGCTTTTTCAATTTACTAAATATTTGCTTCCATTTTGCAGTTATATTACCAGGCAGAAGATTTACATATGAGAAAATTTCACTTGAGGATTGTAATGCTATGTTGAATGACCAGGATGTTAGTGAATATCTTAAGATCTCACCAAATGGAGTAGAGGTACTGTTTAATAATAGGATTCCTTAAGAAAAATTTCCTTTTAAGTTTTACTAAATGTTTGTATTATATAAAGTGAAGGGGAAAAATGATAAGAAGTTCTGATTTATGATAAAAATAAAATGAAATTATATCACCCTATAAAATCAATTCTTATTCCATACTAAACCTAGAGCAGTCACTCCATAGATTGCATACCTTTGTCCTGTGCCTAAATACAGTACCAACAATACGCAGGCAATACGCAATAATGGGTGAAACTGCAGCATACCCTCAATGAAATTATGGAACCGCCAATCATATTCAGGCACATTATTTTCTTTAGTGCTGCAGAATACCTTCACAAAAATAGCGTAATTGTCCATTTATTCAGGCACATTGTTTTATTGAGCGATGCCAAGAGGGGCGATTCCATTAAATATTTTTTTATGCTCAAGAGGGTAAAAAATTGAATTTCTGTGACCCTGACCTTGTTCTTTGACCTTCTCCAACAAACACTGAATGGTGTCTTTCTGTGCTTATTAGTACTATTCCAATAAATTTTATAATGATCCATGCATTAATTTTTGCATAATCTAGCTAACAACAGACAGACAGCAGTAAATACACAATTGTTGTATTTTGTGTCATGTTTGTCTGTCTTTATGTTAGGTAATCCACTTGACAGTTGATTTAGTTCTCTTTTTGGATTTCCTGTCTATGTTGTGTATGATATTTTATGTGAATTGTATTTTTTGAGACGAATATATGAAATGAAATACACCTCCTTGCTGGAGGTAATCCTATCATATAATGTAGCTTGCTAACTTTGAACACTATGACTTAACAAAAATTGTTGTAAATAATTTATAGTATGATAATATAAGAAAATACGTTCTAGATAATTTGTTTACGTTGCAGGCCCGAAGTGATGCTTCGTCGTTTGAAAGCGTACGTTGCACATTTTGTGTGGACTCTGGCGTATGGTACTACGAGGTAACTGTGATAACTGTTGGCGTTATGCAGATTGGTTGGGCAACTAAAGACAGCAAGTTTTTAAATCACGTACGATAATTGTGTATTGCTTAGATTTTATTGACATTTTTTTTAACTTTTTAAATTATTTTGTTATTGTTTTTTCTTTGTTTTTTGCCTGTTGTTTATAATGTGTTTATTGTTTCCTTCTGATTTCTGTATTTTTGAGATTTTACATTTTTTGGAGATTTTACATTTTTTTTTTTAAATTATTTATATTTTATTCTTAATCCATTCTGTAAGTGACAGGTTACCTGCTGTTATGTCAAATTTAATTTAAAATAAAAATAAAAAATATATTTTGTCAATTTTGTAGTATCTAATTCTATTGTTTTAAATAATTACATTTATAAAATGAAATATATTGCTTTACTCAATTTTACAACTCCAACCTCTGCCTGTTGGAGATTAAACAATATATAAATATATATAAATGTATTAGATAAGTTTATATATTTGTAATATAAATATACAATGAACAATTGTATCACATGATAGTATAAGAAATGTAGGAGATGAACTTCTGGCCACCATGAATGTAATATATAGTAAGTTAAATGATATTTAATTATATTATTTCAGGAAGGATATGGTATTGGTGATGATGAATATTCGTTTTCATATGATGGTTGTAGGCAGTTATATTGGTACAATGCTAAAAGCAGACACCATGGTCACAAACCTTGGAAACCAGGTTGAAAGAATTTAATTTCTCTTGAATATACCATATATTCTTCCATATAAGGCGACGCTAAAATAGCAAATTATGAGCGAAAAATAGGGGGTCGTCAACACAACAAACAACACATACCAAACAATGTTTTGATTTTTAAATCATGTTCGACGTATGTGCGGATCATCTGTTACGTGCAATTTTATTACTAAAATTAAGCTACTAACTATTAGCATGAATAAACACAATTAGTGCATGGAAGTAATATTTTGATGAAAATTTAAAAAGCCCATAAAATGGTATTTATTATGTAGCAGATTAGCCCTGCATTTGGCTTCGTTTTTAGCCAGCTAGATACGGTATTAAGACCATAAAGAGCAGAAAAGTAGGGAATCCGACAGTGACTAGGGTTGTCTTGCATGCTTGAAATACAGAAATTGTCCAAAAATCATCTCAAACTTGCGGTCGTCTTATACTCAGATCACTTTATACTCAAGAATATAAGTGTTGATCGAAGTCTCTAGATAAAACATCACAATGTGAATCACAAATATATATTTATTATATTATTACCTGCTTCCAGTAACACTTGGTGGTTGGGGCAAATCCTGTACTAGTGGTAAAGACTGGCAACCATGAGCATGTAGCCACCATGCAGTGGTACTTGTTGACATTTGCTAATTAATATTCTTTTTAATTTCTCTAGGAGATGTTATAGGATTTCTACTAGACCTTGATTCGCACCAGATGATATTTTCACTCAATGGAAATAGCTTAGCACCAGTATCTGATGTATTTAATGCAGCTCAGTAAGTCAAATGCTTTTTTTTGGCATTCAGTTTTCATATTATTGTTTACAGGTTGGTTTAGTGTATGTGGTATTTGTGTACACTTAAATGAATTGTTGAAAGCTGTACCTTAATCAATATGTGCAAAGGACCCAACTTGTCATTCTGGTTATTAAATTTTTTTTTTAATTAAAATTATTTTAAAATAAATAAATAAATAGTAATTTTATTTATTTATTTATTTTTTTGTTTTAGATACATAGTGAACAATTAAAAAGTAGACTTCAAAACATCGTAGGCTTTTGTGTCCATGACAATAACTCCAATAGAATGGTAGAATGTGTGAAGTTTAACAATAGACAGCATTAACAATTACAGTAAATAGGTGAACTAATAGCTCATTAGATCAGACATAACAAAGATAAAGCAATCAATTACATTGTTATGATGGGTTCAGTAAATAACACTAATTTTTTTATTCAACTGTCTAATGTATAAGTGTGTGATTTGTACGTTTTCTACGTCTGTGTATCAAATAATTTTCAGATAAGTTTCAAATTTAGTTCATAGACTATCAAGTCTGAACGTACTGCACTTATTTTTTTTTTTTTTTTTTTTTTTTTTTAAGGAATGGATTCTTCGCAGCGGCGAGCTTTATGTCTTATCAACAGTGTGAATTCAATTTTGGAATGAATGCTTTTAAGTACCCACCACGAATTCCATTTCTAAACTTTAATGATCATGCCAGGCTTTCAGAAGAAGATAGAATTATTTTACCAAGGTATATATCCTGATTTCTTACAGTTAATAAGTATACATGTTATTGTGCATCCGTCATCAAGTGCAATTAACAGACATTGTTGCACTGACATACCTTTTAGTGTACTAATTAGTAGTTAAATTATTTAGGTTCAGTGAAAATAAAAGAAAAACAATGTCAGTGGCAGCATGCATTGATAAAGATAACAATGCTGGTGATGACAATGACTTTGACGGTAGCAACAACATTGATGTCCATAACCATGGTGTGATGCTAATGATAATTTGCCATTCAATTGCCATTGTTGTAATGGTCAGGCTACAATGAAGAAATAAAACAAATTATAAGATAGTAATAAAGGTCTCCCTCTAATTAAAGACCCCTCCAATTAAAAACCACTTTCCTGTGGTCCTAAATTAACATCTTTTATTTTTATTATTGTAATTAGAGACCAAAACTGCTAAAAGCCATGGAAACCTCGGTCCTAGAAGTGGTCTTCAATTAGAGGGAGACCTGTAATTATTATCATTGTTATTACTGCATCATTATAATTACAATAATGATGCAGTTACAATAATGATTCAATAATTAATAATTAAAATAATCAATTTTATTACGTATATATTTTTGTACCTGTTGTGTACTTCTGATGTTTCCCATTTTAATGTATTTTAATGTTACTTTTATCTCAAGTTTTTATGTCTGCTTGTGTTTGATTGATGTTTTTTTGTTTTTATATTTGCCTACTTGCCATATTTTTGTAAATATCAATTAATTCAGCCTTGGCTGTGATTTTGATGTGTATTTAAAAAATAGAATAAAGAATATTTCGGAAAAAAATTACTATTAAGTTAAGATTCATGAATTTTGTTTGAAAATTACAAAAATATGAGTTATAATTAAATGAAATGTATAGTATTATAGTTGATGATGATGATATTGTTTTTGTTAGGCCTAAGAAACTTGACAGGATAAGGCATCTCAGTGTTACAGAAGGAGCTTGCACCCTTTGCTTTGATAGGAGAGGGTGTATATCGCTAAAACCGTGCAATCATGGGTAAGTTAATGTTGTTTTGCTGTTCATTACATTAATTACAAATTTTCCTACATTACTCAACATCCCTCATACTTTATTAGTCAATCAATTTTACTTTTACTCATTCCTGATGGTAACATAATTAATTTTGAAATATTGAATCCCGACACAATGGCGTGCATTTCGATACTTGGAGTATGTATTATTCTGTCTTATCTGAGATTAATCAGTGAACCTTTCGGTCAATTTTACTTCACTTCCAAATCATATATAATTAATAACAATATTTGTTGAGCTTTGGCTTTCTGGAATTGTGGTTTTTTTTTTTTTTAATTAATATGTATTTATATATGCATTTTATTGACTGTTTTTAAAACTTCTGATGTTCTTTCATATATTTTGTACAATTGTATCAATTCAGCCATTGGCTGCCACATACAACTTTTGATGTATGAATAAATAAACCTTGAGCACAACAGGGCTAACCAAAATACCAAAGCTTGTAAACATGGCACACAGCCACACTACAGTAATAATATTAACAAATAGCAAAAAGACAATAATATGCATAGGCTTGACTATATAATTTAATGAGCAGTAGTACCTGAAAAACCTCTTAAGATTAGTTTTAAATGCATTTAATTTTGTGCAGTTCTTAACAACTACTTACTGTAATAGATTATTAGATGGAGCACCTTTTCATTTTCTACCATAATAATATTTTGTAACGATTAACATACTATTTAATATTTATAATTTCCTTCATATCTTTAATCAAAGAATTCTTTTCCATTTAATTTTCCAGAGGCATGTGTATGGAGTGTGCCATGCAGCTGGAAGTATGTCCAATGTGCCGGGCCTATATTGATTCCAGAGTTGAAACAAGGTTTGATGAGCGACGATAGCATTGAATGAAGTAGGAAAATCATAGTACCTTCAACCACTGCAATCCGTCTACATTTTTCACTACAGTTTTCCAATATCTAGATTTTATATTTCAACTGTCAATGGTACACACATTTCATAGAGTACACTTTGTACTGATTAAACTTCAGTTTAATTGTTACTTGTAATTTTGTTACAAATGGTACTGGACTGGTATTCTTACTTCGAAGGCTACTGGTATTCTAGCTACCAGGGGTATTGGTATTCTTGCTACTTAAGGATACTTTTTTTCTTTCTACCAAGGATACTGCTGTTCATGCTACTAAGGGTATTGGTATTCTTGCTACATAAGGGTACTGGTTTCCTTGCTACCAAGGATACTGCTGTTCTTAACTTCAATGATACTGTTGTTCTTGCTACCCATGGCACTGGTATACATGTTACTAATTTCAGTGGTATTCTTGCTACTATGGGTACCAGAATTCTTGCTACAAAGGATACCACTGCTGTTGCTACTAAGGGTACTGCTCTTCTTGTTACCAAGGATACTGGTACCTGTAGTATTGATAACTTTATAATATACCAAATTTACCAGTCAAGTGTGTTCCAGTCTTATTTTTATAGAATACACTTTGTACTATCAGTTTGATTACCTGAAATTTCACTTAGTCATTGACACTTTGATCATTGTAGTAGATATCAATGAAGTAACATTTCCAAAATGAGTAATGATGTTATTGAAGGCATCCTCAGAATGGCGCCATTGATCATGAAACAGCAGATGCGATGCTGTGTTTATAATATTTTAAATAAATGATGAATATGATGAATGACAATATATTTATGTAAATTTATATAGATCACTTTCTTCCACATTTTCTCAAATTTCACATATCATCATTATTTACTTATTTTGTTTTTGTTTATTTTTATAAGGTGTTTTTTCTAGTTGCCATGTGTCAGCTGCAAATTTGTGATAAATTTGTTGCTCACATCAGGAACTAACACAATCAAAGTAGATTGTGTTAGTTCGTGAAATCACAGTAGCGCGTCAAAACGAGCGTGCATTGGTTGTCAAGCAATTTTGTATTCTTTACCACACAAAAAGTCCTTAACAACAACAGCGCGTATTTTGACGCGCTTTCTTGATTTCACGAACTAACACAGTTTACTTTGATGTGTTAGTTCATGATGTGAGCGACGAATTGTAGCATTGGTTTATGTATTATTGACCTTTCGCTAAGCCCCACCCCTTGGATACTGTTGCTAAGGTCCCACAAAATGACGGTTGAAACATTCGCAAACACGTGCGTTTGTGGAACAACATGTGTGTTTATGAGACACGTGCATATTCCTAGCTCTGTTCTGATTGGTCAGTTGTCAAGTTTGATTGACACTCCGGAAAGGTCTGTTGCTATGCGCTGCTGCATATCGGTCCATGAGGAAACAATAAATACATCAAGATGATGTAGAGAGAACCTCAAAGTTTTTGTTTTGGTAAATTTCATTTAAATTTTGAAAGCATAGTTTCGAGACAATCAAGCAACTTGAGCTCATGTACCTGTTTTGAATTCACTGATATGCTACATATTTTAACACAATTACAACTTATTAGGACATGTTTTTTTTTTTATTTTCTGCTTCTCTGATAACTTGATGTAATTTTGCAATTTCCAGCAATGTGTTACCAATCTGTAATAGACACCTATTGTTGCTATCAAGGGTATTCTTGCTGAAAATACTACTGTTATACTAATTTACACATAAAAGTAATGGCATTCTTGCTACCATTAATACCAGAGTTCCTGCTACTAAAAGTAGCAGTAATACTATCAGTGGTACATATAGTGTTATAAGTATAAGTATATAATACCTCTGTGGTGGTAGCAATATTCTTCTTAAACAAGGTTATTGGTATTCTTGCTACAAAAGATTCCAATGTTTTAAGGGTACTGGTATACAGGTATTCTGCTATTAATGGTATTGGTATCTTGCTACCATTGGTAAGATGAAATGCAGCTGATAAATTCAAATTAGTTGCCTTGTAGTCAAGCACCACAAATGCATACAGTAGTGGCAGATCAACAGGTTGGAACATTCACCTGTGCAATTTTATATGTTAATGAGCAGTTATGTAGCACCTTTGCTTTTGATTAGAAAGTGCTGTAAAAGTTATTTTGATTTTCAAAAATGCTAAAATAGATTTTTACTGGCAGCACCATGCCCTCTCCTTCGTGTCTTACTCCTTGTTTTCAACACCTTGTTTTAAAAATCCAGGATCTATTGCACCCACCTCGATACCATGAACACTTTTGGCACTCATTCTTTTTACCATTATGACCACACCTTAAGGATGATGCCAAGATTGACCCGACAGGGGGACTGACCCGTTTTGCAGAGGGTGGGATGGAGATCAACAGGAAGATAACACATGCCAATACAGTATACTCAAAAATTTGTTAGACCGATTTAACAAATTTGCATTTTCTTGATCTTCGAGGGCTTAACCCCGCTCACACCTTGCACTAAGTGTAGTTTCTATTGTTCCTATATATTCTACAATAATTTGACTGTATATCAGTCGGTCTTAGTAATTTACATTTCAACAGAATTTGATACTTAAAAAGTTTCTTTTTGTTAAATGAATTTAGGCTCTATATTGGGTCTATGTATGTGATCGCAGCAGATCAAACCAAATGGAAAAATGAGATACGCGATGTGAAACAAAAAGCGTTAGTGTTTTAAAAGTTAGGTTCAGGATACTATTTTGCAGGAATCAGTTCTATTACATTTTTATTAGGTAATAAATGTATTGTTATTTTTATTAATATTATTACTTTGATGATTATTATTATGTGTACAGTATCTATAAAATCTAGGCCAGGCCTGCAGTATAACGATGGTTGTATTGCCATATTATTGATTCAGTTGTTTGCTCAAATTTTAAAATATTTTCAAAAAATTATATTAAATGTATGTGTTTTGCATTTTAACCTGTTAAAATTTTATAATTTGCATATTTGAAAATATTTATTCTTGATAAAAATTGAGGGAAAAGAGTTGTAATTATCTATAAGATCATGTGATAGATCTAACCTTAGCTACTCTCAAAGTACCACGGATTGACCGTACTTTTCATAGTATGTTTACAATGTTTGTGTTTGAAATTTATTATGTAAATTATGTATTTATGTGCTTTTGGGGAAATGTTAATAACAAACAGTGATATTTTATCCAAGAAATAAAGTTCATCAGCTAGTGTATTAATTATGACGGATGTTTTACTTGTAATTTGTCGATCCAGATGTCTATTATATTTAATTTATTTTTAATTATTTTTTTACACAATAAACAAATAAAGTAACAAAATAGCTCGTAGGCACCATGATAGAACGATGGCAAGCTTGACAAACAAAATGTATTCAAAGTAATGACGGAATAAATACTGTGCTAACCAAGTGTATATTTAAATAAATTTAACAAAAATAAATCAGTTTAAAGAAAGATTTATTTGGCTTCGAAACGTAAAATAATAATGTGTATCCGATTCACACGATCACGCGCGGGCAGGTCGAGCAAAACAATACTGTGGCTATGAAAAATGTCCAACCAAGCGCCCTCTATGTAAAACGATCGAAGAAAACTTTACTTCGAGAAAAAAAGAGAAAAATATTTCGTTTATGGTTGGCCTAAAACCGTAACGGAGTCGAAAATGTCTAGATATGTACCGGTTTTTAAGCGATGGCTAGACCTAAGCCTGTTTTTATTGATTGTCCAATATACTGTAGTAAGGTAATGAATACGATTTTTGATTCAATCAAACACTATAGTTGTACAGCAGTAAAGACAAAAATTAGGCCTAGATCTGGTCGTGGCTACTTGACAGCTCAGCGCGAGCGATCCGATATTGTGTGCATGTATGTATCGTCGTCGCGCTCGGTTCTCAAAATAATGCCTTCTATCCGATTTTACGCTTGCATATACTGTAAAATGGCCCGATTTTCGTAAAATTACATGTCTTTTTTAGATTTTTATGTTCTATATGTTAATTTCGGAAGTGGTATTTCTCAAATTTGTGGTTGAGCCAAATTTAAAAAAAAAAAAAAAGCCGACCCGATTTTTTGGAAATCTTCGGTCGGTCGCGGAGGGCAACACAACATATTTTTTGTTTGGCCTTAAGTTGACATATAATACTGTACTTATGACTCTCATAAATAAACCCTCGAACACCAAAATAAAATACATTAGAGGCCCAGATGGATTTGTGCCACTTGTTGCTGTTATTGATTTTTTGAAATACGTGTTAAAGTCAGGCTCCGGAGGAAAAAAAAAATTTGATATGTTGTAGAACTGATTTTTCTAAGACAAAAAAAGTAGTTTGATCAAAAACTGAGCAACGGTGAATGAGATTTTTGAATATTTAAAAACTGGGGGAAAAAGGTATAAAAATGGGCGGTTACGCCCCCTTTTCCCCCAGTTTTTAAATATTCAAAAATCTGTATCTTCTTCACCGTTCCTCAGTTTTTCGTCAAACAACTTTTTTCTGTCTTAGAAAATCAGTTCTACAACATATTAAAAAAATGTTTTCCTCCGGAATCTGACTTTAAAACCAAGCAATTCCATGTTTTTTGAAACTCCTTAAGCAATCCCCTTCCTCATCTGAGACAACCAAAGACAACTAGGGCTATGCACTGTATAGGATAGTGTGTTTATTCATGGTTTATTTAGTCCGAACTTATGGGAAAGTGATGACGTCATTTTATTCTCTCTCTACGTCGTTGAACACGTCACACGCCGGGACAGCCCCCGGAATCGACGAGCGAGGAGGAGGAATCAGGTAAGCGGTTAATAGAGGCCGGGTAAATTCCTCTCTAGAATAATTATTATTATAGGTTAATCGAACTGCTGTCACTATAGGCCTACATGACTTTTTAAGCTAGACTTAGGCCTAGGCCTACACAATCTTTCATTATTTCATTCATGTCAAGACAAGGCACTACCTACCTGTCCTGTATTGTAGGCCTAGGCTAGACTAGGGCCAGGCTAGAGGCCTATTTATTGTACCAGGTAACCAATTCGTGTATGTCCCTCAATGAATGCCATTCAATGAATGGCATTTCAACCCATAGGCTCTAGTGGTAGCTCACTTTTACTAGGCCTGGAACAGTATAGCTAGTACAGATCCCAAGCTAGGCATACTAAATTTTCTGTGGGACACACTGTGTAGGCTTAGTTAAGTGTTCTTGGACACTTTTTTGGTCAATGATAATGGCGTAGGCCTACTAAAATGTATATTCCAATGAAAACTTGATCATTTTTAGTGCTTTAACCCACTCCCCCTGCACCCGCCTATGCCTGAGATACTCGATGTAGTGAAAAATAAGGTGCACCCTGTTATCATTGTGTAGATCAATGTACAACATTTAATCATCTTACATACACAAATGCACAGATGCTATGAACGTACTGGATGCCAAATTTTTCCCAAACATAAAGCATAGGGCAAGTTTAACATTTTTTCTTGTGTGAATGTGGTATTTTTCTCACAATGCAGTCCACTCACAAAAATGATGTATTTTTAAATTACCATAATGTATGATTGTTCTATATATTTAGGGCATGTCAGAGGAACTTGTGACACATCTCGGTGGATGTCATTGTGGGGCAGTGAAGTTCCAAGTACAGGCACCAAAAATTATTAAAGCAGTGAAATGCAAGTAAGTGATAACCAATCAATTGACTATTAAAAATTGGGAGAGTTTAAGTGGGCAGGGGTGCTGTTAACTACAGCCCATGCTTCAAGATTGTTGTCCAGCGTTCGGTTGGTTCAAACTAATACCCCATTTAGACTTGACTAGCATCGCATTGCGATCGGTTGTAGCAGTGGTGACATCCAATCGCACCCAATCGCAAAGTATAATCGTGTGTGAAAGCTCACCAATAGTAGTCAATATGTAATCGATATCGCAATTGTTACCCGTTGTGATTGGGTGCTACAATCTTTATTACTCCCGATTACCACGGAATCTGATCACAACGAATTCCACAGGCACTGTTTGGCTGAGGTCAGTCGACATAAGCCTAGCCATCGGAGGCCTAGGCCCTAGAATGTAAATTTTGTTTGTTGGTCTGAATACCTTCGTTGATTGCGATCGAGAGTTTATCAGTTCTGGATTACCACCGATTACATTGCAACCGATCCCAACAGAGTGTAGTCTGAATAGGGTATTAGTCTTCTCGGTAAAGGTCCATATCTGTCTGTAAATGGATCTTTTTGCAAAATCCCACCCCTTGGATATTGTTGCTAAGGCCCCACGAAAAGATAGCAGCCTGGTTCTCACAAGAGCCCTAGTATCTGGATCGGGAGCTAACTGTTATTAGCGCTAACCGTTAGCGTCTGTGTGAGAACGCCCGATCGGTTAGCACTCACCGTTAGCGGTATCCGGATATTGCTAACGGTTAGCAAGCGCTATCAGTTAGCACGTTGAGTGCGTTTCTATCATCAACCAATCACACGTACGCGTTTACAATTTCCAGTTTCTTATTGGCCAGTGATTCGATCATATTCTTGGTATCCGGATCGGGATTTGCTTGTATGGACGCACGGCAGCTAACGGTTAGCAGGATCCGGATCCTGCTAACCGTTAGCTGCCGTGTGAGAACATAGCCAGTGTAAAATGTACCTGTACACCTTCTTTTGTGGGACAACACGTGTTTGTTATTCATGTGCATGTTTCTTGCATTGTTGTGATTGGTCAGTTGTTGAGTTTGATTGACACTCCGTAAAGGTCCAGTTGTGAAGGGTATGGAGTTGCATTGGTGCTCAGGTTCAGCCCATGTCCTTGTGGAAAGATGTGATAATAAAACTACTAACCACCTCTCTTCGGCTCCTGCAGTAGTCACGGACCAATTTCCGAAATATTTTAAAGGCATTGACTAAAATCGTTACTGATTAGGTGATATTGTTTGTATTGATTGGACTAGGACAATAACATGCAATCAAAATTAGGAACTGGATTCAGACTGGTGTAACACAAGCCACTGCCTGTTTTAAGTAGTCCTGGTAATGTAAAAATTCAAATTGCAAGAACAATTCGTAGTCAATTTGATTGAAGGTGACCACACGAAAATTGTAAATTCCTGCACATGGATATTTTTAAAGATTCTTAAATCAGCAAATTATATCTATCAACATTATCTAATCAGATTAATGTTGAGAACAAGAATATATGTTAACATCATGATTTAAACCCCAAACCTCACTCTATTTCCTACCAACTGAGTATATAAGGACCAGGTAATGAAGACTAGTGCATTATATGTAGTAAACTGCTTCTGATTTTTTAACAAGATCTTGCATACACTTTTAAATCATACACACTGAATTGATTTCTTCTTTTTTTTTTTATTATGTAGTTGCAGTATATGTGACAAGAAGCAAAACATACACTTCATTGTGCCAAACTCTAAATTCAAATTACTACAGGTAAGTACAATACCAACAGTTATTTATTTGTTATAATCATATGGGACTTGCCATGCCAAAACCAGTATCAGTTACAAAAACAAGAACTTATTAATATATTCATATTTTCCACATTATAAGGTCTAAAATGATGGCTTAAGCCCCTATCGCACTGGACTTAATTTGGTCAAATTAACCGAGTCACTGGCTAAATTTACCAAAAAAAATCCAATCCGAACGTCGGTTACAATTCCCTCAGGGTTAAATTAACCAAGCCGAATGGTTAATTTTACCGACCTCAGCCTGCCCAGTAAAACTTACCATGGTCTCAGTTAAACTAACCACGCTGGTCAAGAAGTCCAATCCGAACGAACACGGTTAAAACTTCCTGAGTTCATGACCTTCGGTACCTCACGCATGCGTTTCAATCGTATGTCCAGTTTCGGTTTTTTTTTGTTTTTTTGCCTGAATCCATTTTGTCTTCTTCCTGTCTCTTATACACATCTATGCACAGATGCTATGAACGTACTGGATGCCAAATTTTTCCCAAACATAAAGCATAGGGCAAGTTTAACATTTTTTCTTGTGTGAATGTGGTATTTTTCTCACAATGCAGTCCACTCACAAAAATGATGTATTTTTAAATTACCATAATGTATGATTGTTCTATATATTTAGGGCATCCAGTGCGAACAAGGCTTTATTTTACTTACTGTTGGCGAAGTTATGCGTATAAGTGTTACGGCTTCTCTGTACTGAAGTATACAATACTGCCGCATTCTTATGCTAATTACTCGGTTTAATGACATACACTGGTTTTGGTATGATGTGTCTCATATCACAGCCAATTCTACCACTGAGTACATATCATTTTTTCAAACAACATTTTGTTTACAAGAATTTTAATACCTTTCATCAGTGTATGTCCACACTACAAATATACACATTTTAACATTAGAGTACACATGTTCTCAATAAATGTTTAACTCCTTTGTAGGGTGAAGACCAGATAACATGCTATACCTTCAACACGCATAAAGCTAAACATACATTTTGTAAGATTTGTGGTGTACAAAGTTTCTACACACCGAGGTCAAATCCAGATGGCAAAGGTAATGTATATTAGAATTATGGGCACAGCAGTATGAAGAAGGTATTGCAGAAGGCTATAACTGGTTATTAGTAGGCCTTTTCCAAACATTCCACTCTACAATATACAATCGTGGTTTGATGACCAGGGATGAACACAGTGTTAAAATAACCCGATGAATATAAACAATGAATACTAATAAAAGGGTGTTCAGCTTTTTAGCCTTTTCTACCATATCGATAATAAATTGATTAATACTACAAATAGTACTATAAATATAATTATCAATTATTAATAGTGTTTCATCAGTAACAATATTACTAATATTTCACTATTTAGTGTTGATGTATACTTGATCAAAAAGCTATATTATCATTGTTATTGTATATCTGCTGTTATTTATTACTTAAAACTAAAGTGATATTTAGGTTTTAGAAGTCAAATTTTTATCAATAAAGGATGATAAAATGTGTATAAGTAAAAACATAAAGAAAAGTATATACATTAAGTTTGTTTTATTGATTTCACAGGAATAATGCCTCACTGCTTAGAATTTGGAACAGTAGATAAGGTCCTGGTGGAAACGTTTGATGGTCAGAACTGGGAGAAAGCTATTGAGGTGAATCCTGAAATACAGCAAAGATCTAAAGAAAGTTAGAAGACACCAATTTATCCTAAATTGATCGCTGGAGAAAAAATAATTAACTATTGATATGAATCCACAAATGGGAGGATTATATAATAGAAAGTTAGTAAAAACTACTAAAAATTACGAAAACCAGAAGTTAGAAAGAATCCTCAGAAAGATAAATTATTATTATTATTATAATTATTATTATAGAACATAATTATTATCTCAAAATACAAGGCTTAGGTAGTGAAGATGTTTTTTAAGTCATGATAGAAAATCCAGTGCTGTCACAAAAACAGTTTTTGTCAGAAGGAAGAAAACTAAACTCTTTATTACTTTACATTAAAATGTTTACATATCGGTATCTTGTCATACCACATATCAAAATAATGGTATAATATATATATAATTTTTATATGATTCCTAATTTAATAAAGATTGGCAAGATATAATTGTGTCTATATGGAGTTGTTTCAAGTTTCAACGTAGCTGTTACAAAGATGAATCCCAAACACTGGCCCATTGACAGTAGTAGCAAAATCTGAAGGCCTTATTTCAATATTACCTTACTGTTATAGCCAGATAATGATTTCTAAAGGGACAATCAACATTTTTACAAGTGTACGATGAGTACTATTTTCGTTAATTTTGCAGCATCATTCTGTTTTTCATTGCGAATGAGTTTGTAATACTGTACATACAGTATAAATACATAATATACTTTTAAACACATTACCATATCTTTGTGGTGTGACATACTGGGCATTATTTTTGTTGAATACGTATATGTGTATATTATAGACGGCTATAATTTGACCACCTGAAGAATCTATAGTCCAGAAACTACCTGTGCCACCAACCTTACTCGCTTTGCTCCGTTTAGGGGCGTTGAGAAATATTCATTCAGATCCAGAGCATCGGAAACTCGGTGAACATAATTAAAAATGCTTTAAGGTGTTTGACCTTTCACAGAGTGTCTCAACAAACTGGGCTTTATAGTAATACGTGATCAAAGAGCAACCAATCGTCGATTGTTTAGAATTTAGATGTATTTTAACATGTTAACAGTTTTTATTGTTGTTTGTTAGTACGAATAAAATCAAATAATAAAAGCAATGAAAATGATGCCCTGATGTCCATATTGATAACACATTTTGATTATACAGTATTATTTTATTTTAAAGGATTTTACATTAGGTCTACTGTAAATATATAAAACAATCAATCATCCTCTTGATTGTGTTCTTATTTGAAAGTGCCTTTTTGGTTTAAAGGGGTTTTTTTTCATTTGAAGTTGTATGGATCCTTTTTAATTTAACTTCAATTGTCATTAATATTATTTTCCTTTATGGCGATTAAATCAACTCAATCGAAACGTCGAGACTCACTCAACAAAACAGAAGTTCATTTCAAAACTCTTGATGTGCTCTATTGCAAGCATTTAATATTATTGTTAATTCACCATGCCAAACCTTCAAATAATATCATCATCATGTCAATATCATACTCCACTTATCTTTTAAATTCGCATCACGTGTAAAGATTGCAGCAAAACACTGTAACAATTTCATGAAAACTGTGCTTAAAGAAATCCTTTTAAAGATTTAAAATAACGACGCTATGTATGGAGGTAGGCCTGACACATAATAACCATTACCTTAACCCCAGTTTCAGTGCAGGCTAAAAATATGGCTTAATACAAAACGCCGAACATCTAAAGTATTGTTTATCTTAAATAACATTTCCATTTCTGTTTTGAGTACATTTGTAATAATTCCGTAAGTTATACACATTTTTTAAATGATCCATCCTTTACATCAATAGAATACCGTTACGACACATGTTGTGCCACCAATGTTATGCATTATTCATACCAACACAAATAACACTTTAACAAGTGGTTTTAAGTACATTGCCGCTGAAAACATACCATAGTCCTAGTATACTTCTGTGAAACAATCAATCGTATTGTTGTTCGTAGAGTATGTTGATATACTTTTTTCGAAAGCTCATTCTAACCGAACTTTCATATCTACTATATTTGACAGTTTTATCCAAGAAGAATAAAACTGGGTTTCGTCAGTACATCCATAATCACAATGAACAACACGCATGGGAAACTGTAATTAAGAAATTGTAAATGAAGATAAACATGCGCTAACACTGTTACCATGTACCCCAATTGTCATATCCACGATAATTCTGACGATAGACATTTACTATTCGGGTACCTCTTCATTGATCACCGGTTAGAATTAATTATTTCATTTCATTATATTTACTTGTTTAATTAAAAATCATTAAAAAATACAAATATAAGAAAAGCAAAATGAGACTTGGAAAAAAGAGATTCAAGATCTCTGTCGAGTGGGTCGCCAATCAGTTACAAACTAAATTAAAATTAGCAATAGAATAAATATAAACATTAAAATTTCATACCATATAAATATACTACACAGTAAGTATTGCAATAATATTAGGTCTATTACCATCATCATAGTCATTGTCATTATCATCATCATCATTGGAATACAATATGACTTATAACATTAAAATTATTAATTATACTATAATTCTACTGGTTTATGTATATAATAAAAAAATAATAATGATAATAATAATAATAATTTATAATAATAATAGTTTATTCTTATATACTGCATATAAGCATATATGTATGTGGAATCAAAATGTACCCTTCATTGTGCCAAGAATCTCGATTTAAACCACTACAGGAAAAGACAATGAACAAATACTTTGTTATTCAATTTGACCAATCAACTATACTTATAGATTATATAAATCACTGAATGCTTTATTTTTTAAAGAGTGAGGAACAGCTAACATGCTATATCTTGAACACCTACAAATCTACACTTCTTAACCAGTTTAGAACTGTAGTGATGTATATGTATCGATAAATGTTTAATTCGAGTGGAGCTGAATAGCTTGGTGGTTAAGATGCTTGCCTTCTAATCCCAGGGTTCTGGGTTCAATTCCTGTCTCAGCAGCAGGATTTTCTCACCACCAAAAAGAACTGTACTCCCTAGGCCTCATAAAGAGACTATTTATAAAGCATCATTCCAAACTTAAGTGGCGAGTGTACTTGCTGTTGTATGTGAAGGAAATTTAAAAAAAAATTATCTTGAAGAATGAAGAAAGTAGCATGCTATACCCTTTGGCACACACACACAATCAAAATACTCCTGAAAAATTCTATTAACAAAACGTGTACCTATATTTCTCAATAAAAGTTTAGAAAGCCCTCAATAATGCAGGAAATAAAACTATAGGCCAACTAATATGAATTAAATTTATTACTAAAGCCTGTCGCCACACACTGGGCCTACGCTCGTCGGCTAATGCGATTCTGTAGGAAAATTTAACGCGACGTGGTGCGCGAAGCTTTGTTTTGACAATCCACTCCACTGCCACCCTCGACAATCGGCAGCCGTCGTAAAGCGCTCACTGAGATCAGATAACATTCGTCAGCCGACAGTCTTTCGACCATCTTACGACGCAGTGTGTGCCCGACTATTAAACATAACAATCAACAGAAATAAAATATTATACACGTTTTAAGCTTATCTTATTATGATGAGAATAGTAAATGGCTAATTCAATGATATTCAAATATTCTGTCATACCAGATTTTAATGACAGCTGTATTTATTTTCAAATATTATGATGTTGATCTAATAAAGATTGAAACATCAAAAATCGGTTGAATTAATTGAAGTCTTAAGTACTTTATTTTCAATAAGTTCATTGATACAAAATGTGTTGAATTTACGGTCACCTGATGAAATTTTATATCTAGTTGTTTGATTAACTTTTAACATTTGATTGATCTAAACTTAGAATTAAAAAAAGACATTGGGAAAAAGTAAATTAAAAAAATGTGCAAACTGAAGATTTTAAATGTTACCATTTAACATTCGTTTTGTTGCACAACTAACCTAACCATATAATCAACCTCGACTATATTCTAGCAAGTTTCATATAATTAAAACCTGAATATTTGGATTATAAAAATAGAAATGTACAGTAATATTCGTGCTATAGCCTGGTGTCCTTAGGAGCTTACAAACTGTAATAAATTACAAGCAAGAATCTACTAACTAGAGTAAATCGTTCCAAATAATATAATATTTAATTTTAAAAAAAAATCTTGTTCATATAAAATTAAAATTAGAATAATTCCGATGATAATTGTGACACCTTTTATTAGAGGCCCTTGAAGGACGCTACGGATATACATTTTCGCAATATGCTAATTTCTTGTCAGCCTAAATTTTCATTTTTATATCTTAATTTTTAAATGATGAGCCTCTACCTCTACCTCTGCCTCTGCTTCTATTTCTTCGTCTTGGGTTTGCTGGTTTACTTGTCTGGTTAGTCGATTTGCTCCCTTGGGTAGTGCTGGATACAGCTTTGTTGTTCTCTTTTGTCCGTTCATCTCGGAAATGCTCAGGTTGGTTGTCGACATTTTTGTTACTGGCTTTGGTACCTGTGTGTGCACTACTGCTCTGCTGTCGCTGTTTCGTTCGAGTACTTTCACCCTCCGCTGGTGGTTTACGAGTCTGGTTAGTCGAGTTTCTCCCTTGACTAGTGCTATATACAGATTTGTTGCTTTCTTTTTTCCGTTCATCTTGCAATTTCTCAGTTTTTTTACTGACATTTTTGTTGATGGCTTTGCTACCTGACTGTGCACTACTACTCTGCTGTTGGTGACTTCTTCGAGTTCTCTCAACATTCATATTATTAAAAGGCGAATCTTTTCCTTGTCGTTGAGGATGAGAGGAAGTACGAGTGTCTGTCGAAACCTTTAAACCTTTGTTTACGTTTTCATTTTTAGGTTCCTGTTGGATTTGTCTCTGCTGTCGCCGACGTTGATTCTTCGACAATATCTTTTGATTTTGATTATTGTCGACTTTCAAATCACGATTGTCTACTTGATTCAAATTTCTAACGCCTTTTTCATGAACATTTTGATTCACTACCTTCGTATTTTCTGAAAACCCTCTCGATTGATTAAACTGTTGAGTGGTTTCAAAAATCTTGGAAGTATTGCATTCTGGACAGTTCTGCACGTTTCCTTCATTTCCATTCCTAGCCAGTATATGGCCCATCGCACATGTTTTCCAAGTGTCCTGACAAAAACTTGAACCTGTATTAACGATTTTCTCAACCACATCTAATGTTTCTTTTGATAATTCTTCTACGCTTTCTGGTCCAATCAGACTAAAAGCATCGAGGCTAGTTTCAAGAGTTACCGGTATCTTCGTATAAAGCATAATCGATAACATGTTGTTGATCTTTGTGGAATCTTCAGAAGTAGTGTTACCCTGATATTCCCGATTTCTTAACTGGGTGCAAGTATTCAAGCGTTGCAAGTCTGAATACAAATCAACCAACACCTGTCTAGAAACACTATTAGTGAAATTCAAAACTATTTTTTCAACTTTATCTAATTGTTGAGATATATGGCGATTGCTCAGTTGACTACCAATATTATCATTTTGTTGATTTAAGTCGATACGAATAAATTCTATTTTTTCGAGTATTGTGATCACGATGTTAATTACAAGCATTCTATCATATGATACTCCATAGCGTGAGTTTACTTCATCTAATAGTTTTCTCGGATCAATTGTTTTTAGGACTGACAATTTGTCAATAATCTGTTTTCGTCTTTCTTGCACTTGTTGCATTGATCGCTCAGCAAACATCATGCGCTTCATCGATGCAATTTTTACATCAATATTTTTTAGCACATTACCATATCTTGTACTATATCTGATGATTGTGTCACATATGGGGCATTCTTTTCGTTGCAAACCTTCAACTGTATCCATGTATGCATCCATTTTTAAAACTTCAACTGCGTGGGAACAATCATACAAGTAGACATATTTTGGTCTATTTCCCTTTGCTGTAGCTGGATCATATCTAGCCGGATCACATTTTAAACAACTACGGAGACAAGGTTCACCACAAAGACCTAAACATTTATGTTTGCATCTGAGAGTCTTGTGACACGGTTCATTGCATCTCTCACGATTACACATCTCATCACATGCGTTTGTACATTTTAAATGGGGGCATTTCCACTCACATGGGGATTTACATGGTTCACACATTTCAGCACAGGCTCTACGACATTTTCTGTGTGGACAAGTAGAATTGCACTGTTTTTTACATGGTGAACATGGAGTAATAGAGCATGTCTGTTGGCAAACGTGACCGCAGATAAGCGTCTTTCTGCAAATTTGGAGGCATGTACTATGTGCCCGTCCGTGTGAGCACTCTGTACAGTTTCCTTTACATTTATGTCCGCAGGCTAATATGGCAGTACATGCCTGTTTACAACTATCGATTGAACATTCTTTTGAGCATTTCTTCGTACAAAAATGACCACACGACAGCTTTTTGGAACATCGGTTACTGCATATAATAGGTAGATGACTCCTGCAACAAAGTTGTGTTTCTTCATGTCCACAAGGTAGTTGGACCTTTATCTTAAAATTACAAGCTGCCTCACCCTCAGTGACATTCTCTGTGACATCTACATAACATTTCACAGTTTTATTATGCCCGCACTTTAGTTTCTTCTTCACAATCTCAGTACATTGACTTGTACACGGATTAGCGCAAGCCTCTTTACACTTATGTCCACATGATAACAGCCTTGAACACATTTCAAAACATACACCGATTTTTGAACACTCACGAGTGACGTCGTGTCCGCAATCTAGTGTTTCAATAACCTTTATCTTGCATTTAATTTTATCGATATTTGATGATTCATAACACTCGATTGTGATTTCATGTCCACATCCCAAAGTTAAAATAACTTCCACGTTACAGTTTAATAATTCCATTTGCTTTGGTAGTCTTGAAAACTTGCTACGGAGAAATGTGGCACGGGTTACCAAACTCTCATAACGCGAGTGTCTATCTTTTTCTTTGTATAATGTTTCAAGATTTACATTACAAGGTACCTCTTTCTCATGCTCACATTTCAGCTTTTTTTTAACCAGTTTAGTACATAAAGTAGCATCGCACATTTCATAACACTTTAACTTACATGGGTGTTCACATGGTAATGTCTTAGTGCACATTTTTTTACAAGTAACACTTTCAACATTTTCATAGCAAAACAACATCTTCAAATGTCTACATGGAAGTTCTTTTCTGACTTCAACCAAACAGTCGCCACACGGCTCACCACATAGTCCAGGACATGGGTGACCACACAGTCTTTCACGTGGGCATGGCAAAATACAGGAAGGTGTAAAGCAAGGGACATTTACAGTGTGTCCACACTGAAATGTCTTATCTGTAAGTTTTTTACATTTGGTTGTGCACATATATCCGCATTTTTCTTGACAGACATGACCACAAGTTAACAATTTTTCACAGGGTAGTTGACATGAGTTTATGTAGCATTCTACTTGAATGTCGTGGCCACAAGGATCAAATGATTTATTAACAATTTCTAAGCATCTCCGCGAGGTGCAACTCTCAAAACATTTAAGTCTGCATATGTGGCCACACTTTAATGTCCTTTCACATGGCTCCATGCAATCAATTGGCTGGTTATATTTGGCACACTGTATATTAGCTTCATGGGAACAATCAAGCAGAGCTTTACTGACAATGACTGTACACGGAGGGCACTTTATAAAGCACAAATAATTGCATGGATGACTGCGATCACAGGTTCTGACACATGGTTCTCTACATTCGTATTTTTCATGATGTGGATCTTTAGGGTGGCAATACTTAGGGCATACATGACCACACTCGAGGCGAGTTTCGCACATACGGTTACATCCTCCTAATGGACATTTTTCGAAGTCTTTTGCAATAAACGCTTTAACCTTCGTCGCTGGATGGTTGTGACAGTGCAACAAAAGATGATTTTCGATACGACCTGAAGATCGCATATCGTTCACTATCTTCATCCAGAGGTCATTCTTTTCCGCTAAAAGTGTGAAGTTACCAATACAGAATAAACCCTTTCTGGCTCTCGACAATGCTACGCACATTCTATTTGAGACCTTTAAAAAACCGATGTTCCCAGCTTCGTTACTCCTTACTAAAGACAATAGTATGATATCATTTTCTTCCCCCTGGTAATTATCGACTGCAGTAACATAAATACCACCAAGACAGGCATACCTCTTATCTCTGAGTTTTCCTTTCAAGTTTAACACCTGTCCCGTATAGGTAGTCAGGATGGTGATACATGATGCCTCGTAACCCTGTTGGAAGAAGTAATTTGCAAGAGCTAAACAATATTCAGCTTCGTGAACGTTTGACTTACTCAAAATATCCTCCACAGACTCTTCCTTGATGTCGTGATTTATAAAGAACAAGTTATGGCTCACTCCCATAACATTATCAAAGTGATTTACCGAATCGTCATCAAGGAGATGACTGTAAAAGTGTTTCCTCATGATGTTCGATATCTCTGGTCGCATGCGGTGTTGAGATGACAGTCTCTGACAGGGGACATCGTTTGTAAGCATTCTTTCAAAGAGTGAAGTATCCAGATGAAATTTGGTAGCAAGTTTGTATACTGTAGGATTAGGCTTTAATTGTTGATGGTCTCCAATAAGAATAAGGTGTTCGCATTGATTTGTCAGGCTTGTTACTATATGTGCTTCTAGTATTTCTGCAGCTTCTTCAACAATGACAATTTTCGGTCGAATGGCATTCAGGAGCTCTTTATTCATAGCAGCACCGGTCGTTGTCATACCGACTACATCTGCATCCCTTATAACTTCACATTTAGCTTCGTGGTCCTGCTCATGAATTCTCCTGCCTACTAATTGGTCATAACTGTGCTGCTGATTGAATAAAATTTTACGCAATGTACCTTTGTACTGGGTTAGCCAATATCGGTAGAGACGCCATCGATTATTCAGAGATAACTTGCGAATATTGACAAGTCTGTTGGCCTCCTGTTCATCCATTTCATCATCAGTGATGGATAGTTGTTTTATCAATGTCGCATAATGCTCTTTCAATGGTGAATCTCTGCATTTCATTTCCTGATTATAAGCGAGTTTAGTGTATAGGGTGCGCAAAACCGATTTCTTTCTTGTTTCATAATCTTTTCTATCACTTGTATCATCATACTCCCTTTGATACATTAGCATGTCGAATTCAGTCGTAATGTTCTTTGTGTTAGAAACATCACCCTGTTCTTCTTTAATCTCGTCGTCAGCATCTGCAACGTCTTCTGTCTTTTCAAATTCATCTGAAGTGGAAAGAAGACCAAGCCATGTAGGTAAAGTTGAACGATTTCCGTCCACCAAATATTCTTCTCTTGAGTCCTGTAGACATCTGAAATGATTTTCATTTATAACAGCTTCAAGGGTATATTCACTTAATATGTATTTGTTGCACAATTTTATCATCTCCTCAGCCTGTATCATTTGGTCACTTATGGCATCTATAATCTTTTTGAAATTATCTGATCTACGTCTGCACTTTTTTGATAAAACTCTCAGGTTGAAACGTGCAAGTTCTTCGCTTTTAGATCGTCCACCGATTCTGACTAACTTCTTTGGAGAAAATTCAAGAATACCTTCAAGAAATTGATCTAGCGCATGGTTTGTATAACATATCACCATTATAGGACTTTTATGTTCAACATATTCTGCATACTCATCATTATTTGGCGACCAATGTGATTTGTTACGTAGAAGAGTCTCAACAATTTTCAATCCAATGTATGTTTTTCCAGTTCCTGGTGGCCCTTGAATAACCGCAAGCTCTTTTGTCAATGCTGCCTTTACAGCACTTAACTGTGATTCATCAAGTGTTAGTTTGTTAAATTCGGGCCATGCATTGTCGTCTAGTATGTTAATTCTATTTTCGTGACGAAGGCCCATGGGTCGTCGTCTATCCCTATTGTAAGTTCTTATTTCTTGTTTCATCAAAGAACTAATATCGTACATTAGGCCGCTCTTATTACGCAGATATTTTGGTTGTTCTATGTTGTGTGAAGCCCGAATAATGTAGTTTTCCATCGGTATAGATTCTTCATTGAACTGTTGAAGTACCTGCAGGACAGGCCTGTAGCTCTCAAAAAATGCTGTTGATTCGACCATAGTGTATACACGTGTATTTTCTACGTTTTCAATATTATGGATCTTAAGATCAACTCGGCCATGGCGTAGTAATTCTTCTTCTCTATTGCCAACCGTTCCAAAAACAAGAGTTTGAAAATTGTCATGTGATAAACAGACAAGTGAGCCAAAAATTAATCGTTTTGTATTCTGCCACTTTACACGCGTTAAGTTACCGAGACTGAATTTAACGCGATAATGTACCCCGTTTTCAGAAATTACAGGATGGTCAATTTGAACGTCATAGTACAGACGAACATCTGTATTCCTTTTTCTCTGGTTACGTGGAAGAGGATTTGCTACATTAGCCAAGTGTGTTTGAATTCCATCACGTAAAGGGCCAATGAAGTCCTCTCGCAGCAATCGGAATTGAACATCGAGATAATGAATATGATTTGAGTAACTTCCTTTAGTTTTATTAGGCCGAAGGAACGGTGGTTCCATTGACTGGAGGTCATCTTTGGTTGGTAATATCGGAATATCCCGATAGTCATCAGGCGGTGGGCCATCAAAAATACCTTCTCGGATGGCAGAGGCATGTTGTCGTCTCTTCTTGTCTTCTTCCTTTGCTTCAGTAATGCATTTGTCCACTTCTTTTTTTAAACGTGCTACCTCAATAACAGCTTCTTGTGACAAATTTCGTTGTACAAACAAGGCTTTACTAGAGGCGTCAAGGAGTGTTATATGCATTTCGAGATCTTTCACTTCGCATTCAGGTCCAGGAATGAACCCTCGTAGAAATATCGAAAGGAGAGCTATCTTTTTTTCAATTTGACTTGGGTTTTTTGTGTTTGATTTATCTCCTAAATTTGCTGTATATAACTGAAGTACACTCTTAAAAAATGTACTGTCTTTTAACATATCTATTACTGCTTTTATTTTTTCTGAAACTTTTTTAGATGTTTTGTACTCAAATACCCTTACAAAAATCCTGAGTAGAATTTCAGTGACGTCATTGTTAATTTTTTTTTCATTTAAGAGTGCTTTGAGCATGTCGGCCCGGTTGGATAACATATGCACCACGTCATTAGGCGACTGCGTCTGATGTATTTTCTTGAGATCATTCATATTTACTGCAAAGAATGAAAACATTTTGTATTGCAGACATATTGAATTTAAGTTTTTATTTTACGTAAGTAACCCACCTCAGCCCGACAATGGTGGAGACTGAGGTAAGAAAAATTATGATTATGGCACCGCTAGGTGGCAGTAAATGGCAATCTCAGACTGAAATTTGAATATAATCACTTTCTCCATTAATTTTAAATTTATTTTTGTTAAATGGTGGTGGGGGGGGGGGGTGAGCAACATGTCCCCCTTGAGTCCGCCACTGGTATTACAGTATAATGTAAAAGCGTCAAATAAATACCTTTTTTATTTAAGGTCAAATCTACTGAATATTGAAAAGGTTTGTTTTTTATAGTTGTGTCGACTACCTTCGTACTTACATGGTTTTACAATGGGTTTCGTTTCAGCGTAATGGCATCTTCCTCCATCTAATTGATAATTAGGAGGCCTATTTGGGGTCGGTGCAAAATCTCTGTAAAAAGGAATATAATTTCAAATTACGTCGTATCTACACACCAGCCTCGCACACCCAAACAAACCCTCCACACATACTACCACACAGATAAGATAAGACAGAATAATGTGTGATGACCTTGTTAACTATATTTTTTTCAAATTTCAAATTATATTTTCAGATGAACAAAAATAAAAGTAATCTACATTGCACACACTGTGTTCCGGCGCACACTGTGTCGTACATTTGTTGGCCAATGATTCATCTCTACCGTATGTGAGCGCTTGGCAACACGACCGTCTGCTGATTGTCGATGTGTTAGATTGAGCGGATCTTCATTGAAAAATCCGCTGCGCGTGTTCCATGGTGTGTTGGCCGACGACCGTCGGGGCAGTACTGTGTACCAGCATAATAGTTTTTACATGCCACTGTTGCAATATTGTGTACCGTAAATATTTGAATAAACCCTTTATTATTGAGAAGGGTTTTTGAGAAGGCGTTTATTCGAGGGCGCTTTCGAATAAATTCCGTATACTACTAAACAGTGTTATGCCTATGTTTGCATGTCCTGTAGTTTGCGCTAAAAACTATAGGAGATAAAAGTCATGTTATGAATTGTTAAAAATAAAGTTAAAACATGAGACTTATCCTTTAATATTTCTGTTTAGAATCGATAACACTATGTGCCTACATATTCCTATAACATACCCAACTCTTCCTTTTCCCTTTGTACGGCTTTCTCTCCTAAAGTCTCCATAGGTCGTTGTGGAGGTTGAATAGTGATTTCCATGGTGATGAGTCATAGCATTCGCCCTATTTTAATGCGAAACATATATTAATATTAGTAAATATATAATATATTGTCTACATTTAACACATTGTCTAACTCCAAAGAATTATAAGTTCCTTTTATAGTATATAATAATTGTTAAAATTGAGAATTTACTTAGTTTGCCTTAATTTTAAACTTGAAGGTCATTGTTTGTTGATGTTTCTGGTATCATCATCACAGTGGATGATCTGCAAAGGACCTAATGGTCCATTGCCGCAGGGTAACAGAGGTTGTTTGGACCAGTACACCGGGGTAGTCCTGATTCGTCACAAAAGATTTACTGGGTTGTTTATAGTGCATATGAGCCAATTGTGTACAGTGGGGCTATGTCATTATCAGAGAAAACATATTTTACTACCAACAATAGGTGAGCATTGGTATTTTGGATTAACTGACCAAATTGCTATATATATTATCTTTGTTTGAATTTGTTTTATTTTTTAGCTTAAATTCCATTTTTCAATTTGGTAATATTGTGTTTATTTTTTATTTAAGTAGGCCTACCAAAAACCTCCATATTCTACACAATGTCATAGAGGGATTTCAACATCCCAATGTACTTAACATTGTAAGAAACCTTTAATGTAATCTTCGATTGTGTTTCTTAACATATCGTGTACTACTAATTGAATTACATACCTATAAGGTCTACCTCTATTAGCCTCGCCACGATTGCGATTTCTAAATCCTCCAGCAACTGTCCAGTTTTCGTCATCTTGTGTTAATGGATGATGGTTCCCCCTGTAATCCAAGTATGACTGAGCGTGTAAATGTTTAACGCTAGACGACTGTTGGTGACGTTTTCTGGTGTCTTCGGTCGGAAGACCAACTCGACGTCCAGGGTCTTTAGGTCTTGCGCCTCTCATTTTAGCCTAATCTATTGACAATATCAAAATAAAATCACTCTATATAGTGACTCTATAGAGTAATAATAACAATACTAATAACAAGAGGACTCAGTAGATAACATATCTCCGCCCCCTGCAAATCCCTTTCTATAAAGTAAATCTCTCAAAATATGTTCCTAATTTACTTCAACCACCACCACTACCACCCCACCACACTTCACTCCTCTTCAAATACGCACAGTAACTCACCCAAACACTTTTTATTTCAAAGAGGGACACTATTTCCACTCTTAGTATGTTTTTGGGGACTCTTTTTAAGAGTGGCCATTTTCAGATTTTGTAATCCGAATTTCACCAAAATTCAATGTCGGCCTAATTTTCACTACACATGTTCTGAACACAAAATTCAAGCAACATTATAATATTGAAACATTTTATTTTCAACTACTGATTGTAAAAAAGCAATAGTGACAACCCACTTACTTGACCAATTCCTTACTTCTGCTGGTTAAACATACGGGAACATTTTACTTTTATAATTGACAAAAAAATACATGCCAAGTATTGGTGTTGAAATAGAAATGTTATGCAAATAGTCAATGGTTCCTATCGTCACATGTTTTAATATAAAAATGCATTCAAAATATTCACATTCAGCTCCAAAAAACAGAAGTTAGTACATATAAAACGCTGTATACATTTACTGTAATTGCACTAATTTGAATATTCATCATACAGCTATTGTTATTTGCCTAGGGTATACGGTAAACCATAACAACTCCATAACTTAACTTCCTTTAAATGGTCCTCATATTCACACCCTAATTCGGATCGTGACCAAAATTTAAACACTTCTTATCATTAAAACAAGACAAACTATTCTGGAAAGCGTTATTTTTTATTTTGGAAAGCATTATTTTGATCCATTGATTAATTTTCGAGATATTTAGGTCTGGGACCTAATGGCCTTCCAATGCACACCTGAATAGTGGCTCTAAATGTGTGTGAAGGGGATTCCTGTCGGTGAATCTCATTTTACCTACACCTACCCCGTTGGGCAAATCGTGGCGCCACCAACAACAGCCAGTCAACAACGCATAATGTTGTCAACCGTGTAATACTGAATATGAACTGGTGTATGTTTACCGTATCATCCAACACAGTTTCGTTTACAATGGTGCGTGGTACTCAGTGGCGGTGGTGGGGGAAGCAGGGGCTTAAGCCCCCATCACCGGACAGGTCAAGCCCCCCCCCCCCTTCGGACAGAGCTCGGACAGAGCTCAGCGATGGCGCCAGGACCTGCCCTACGGAGGAACTAAAGGCCCCGACGGGGGGGGGGGCTAGTGGAGCGATATTTCATGAATTATGGCGAATTTTTATTACTTTTTGATAGACATCGAGGTACTATAATATGACTTCATGTAGGCATGCTTTCTAATGTTGAAATCAGCTTCCAAAACCAAAACATTTAGAATGAAACAAGAAAGAGTAGGGCCTATGCAATGTAACCATCTAATTTATTTTCAAATCCTCATTCTTGAAAGTGAAATTCTATATTTTGGAAATTTTGCATTAGATCTGTCAACCACGCTTCCATGGTCGAGGTTGCTTCACCTATCACCATGTATTCCAACCATCATGAGGCTATCTAAATGAGCATTTGTCATAACATAATTATTTTTAATTAGTCTCATTGAATTATTATTATTATTATTATTATTATTATTATTATTATTATTATTATTATTATTATTATTATTATTATTATTGTTGTTGGTT